GGGCGCGCGCGCTGCTCGGCGGCGGGGCGGGGCACGCGGCCCGCGTGGCGCGCGGGGGGCGGGGGGGGGCGAGGGGCGCGCGCGGGGTCGGGGGGGGCCCGGAATCGGACCGGGGGGGGCGGCGGGACCGGCCCCGGGATCCCGATCGGGATCGGGGTCAGGATTGGGACCGGCATGGCGGACCGACGGGACGGGGGGGCGGGGGACTGGGGGAGGGGAGTCGATGATGACCCTGCGCTTTCCGCACCGTCCCCCGCCTCGGGCCCGAGCGGCCCCGTGGAAAAAAAAAAAAAAAAGCCATAAATCCCGCCCCGCCCGGCAGGAATTCCTCAGCAGCGTCACCCAGCAATGCCCCTTTTGTCCGCCGGGCCCGGCCCCGCCACAGCCCTGCGCAGGGCTGGTACCCGGCCGGAAACGGCCCCGGCCACGTTTTCTGCCCAGAAAACTGCTGGATCCCTGTCCCCGTTTGTGCTCCCGCTGTTCGCAGCCCCCGGTGATCCCAGCCTCGCTCGGCACCGGGAAAGAGAGCTTCCCGACCGAAATCCCCGTCCCTGCCTTTCATGGTCGCGCGTGTTCGGCGCAGGATAAATGGAGGTTGCAGCCTTCCCTATAGACGAGGGGCGCGCAAATGGCTTTGTCATGCAAATGTGGCTCTAAGCCACCTTCTTGTAAAGCCACTTAATGCCGAGCAGCCAGTGATCCTCGCCCGCCCGTCAGGCAGCGCCTGCCCTGTCCTTGAAGGAACGGAAATGGAGGCACTGGCACAGATGCATGGTCCCTGCCTCCATGCTGAATCGGGATGACCTCACAGCGCAGGGAGAAGCCTCCCATTCCCTCCCCCCCCCCCCCCCCCCCCCCCCCCATCCCCCCCCCCCCCCCCAGAGGTCTCTCTCTTCCGCGAAACTAAACTAGTTTCCTGCCAGCCTTTCCCTGCTGCTCCCAGAATACTGTCCCCTGTTCCTCTCCGTTCGAACGCCCGGTAATTACCTGCACGGATTGGGTTTCTCCCGTGTCCTGAAACATTTTATTTCCTTTTAGCATGTCGTCCTCGCTTGGCATTAACTTTCGACAACAGCCAGCAGAGTGTGCTGTGAACGCTGTGTAAAGAATATCCTGCTTCTGGGAAATTTTTATATATTTACATATATGTACAGAAATGCAGATGAAGACATTTTAAGTGGTTCTAATACTTGCACGAGTGGTATGTAGTTCCTCCCATCAATTAAAATACTTCTCTTGTCGCAGATCACACAACCTCTTCCTTAAAAATTAATAGCCAAGTCATACTAAACCGTCTGCTTTCAGCAAGATTGCTTTCCAGTGTTTGTATAAAGTTGGAAAAGTGCCACAATGGAGATGTCCAAATACCTTTCACAGTCAGAGAGAAGGATCTAGAACACAAGGTATTTAATAGATGAAAATGCAAATCATTACCCCAGCCTACAGGAAGTAGCTTATGCAATTATACAGTATGAGCATACATTTCTCCAACCTCGTCACTCCCTCCTTTGGACTTACTTAGTGACAGTGGAGTTACAAACAGATTAATAAATACATTAGAAATAAGTTAAATAAAAAGATTCAAGAAAAGTGTTTACTGGATGACTTGGAAATGCGATTGTTTGCTCGAAAAGCAAACACGCATATGCTTGTGTTCCTTGTATTATTCTGGTGTCAATTTCTTTTTCCTTGTTTTGTAGGAGCAGACATTTAGGGAGGAGTGAACTTTTGAGTTGTGCTTGTGGGGTAACAAATGGTTCTGTATCATTCACAAACTAAAACTGCATTAAAGCAAAGCCAAGTATGAGACCCTGTGGAAGGGTTTTTAAGGGCAGAAGGACATTGTTGTTATGCAACCAAACTGGAATTAGGATTAAAAGGAAATCGGAATACATAAACAAAAACAAATTCAGAGGCAAGGCATTCAAATAAAATTGGCTGTGGGCTGCAACTATCTAAGCAGTGCAGTTAATGCTTTATTAAGTGAAACTGTTTTAGAAACATATACTAGAGGTTTGAGATTTTTTCTTTTTCACAGGATCAGTGTGACTGGGCAATCAAAGGAGAATATTCTCCCCAGCTCTGCTTCTGATCAGAATGAATCAAATACAGCGCTCCTAATTTTCATGGTCGTGAGAAGGTAATAAAACTAATAGTTATGTATTAGCAAGGCATTACAAACTATTTCATATGCACTGCTCTGGTCATGCAATAATACTCATGCTTAATATTAAGCACACGTGGCTTAACAGGTGCACATGAGTTAATAATCATAATGGTATCTGTGTTTTACGTAGTTTTTCGGGTGCTGTATGCCAAGTAATACCAAGTATTGCTTGGCTGCTGGTAGCCATATATTAAAAGGTAGACTGTTAATTGGCAAGCATAGACATGCATTATTTCATAGCCACAGAGACCAGCACCAGTGAGTAGTCGAGCACAAGAAGGCAGCTAAGCAGTGCTTCACAATTCATCACTCCCATGGAGGAAACAGCGAGCAGCAAGATGAGAAGTTTGCTGACTCTGCAAAACTTTTTTTTTAAGTTAGCAGGATTGAGGGTCATTTGTAAAGAATTGAGGGTGATTAAGCAGTAAAAAATAGATTAAATACAGGGTAGGTAAGTGCAAGATGATGTGTGCGCAGAAACCTAGTCCTAACTTCACGTAAAAGATAGGAATACCTAAAATGGTTGCTGCCACCCAGGAGTGAGACTTTAAGTATGTGTGGCCTGCACGAACATCAGCTTGGTGTTTGGAAAAAGCACATTTTAAGGAAAGGGACAGAGAACAAAAGAAGGACCATATTTATGGCAGTCCAGAAGTCTGTGCTGAGTTTGCATGATGAGCACTGTTCCCTGGTGGGTTTCCTGCTTTTTAGAAAGAAAATGCTGGAACTAGAAAAGAATAACAAGGATGCTTAGCTGTCTGACTTTGTGTCCCTTGAAAGCGACAATTGAGTAGGATTGGCGTTCTCTCTCAAGAGGGAGGATGTCTGAGGCCTGTTACATCCTAAGTAACTTGGAGAGGTTGGATAGCGACTGACTTTTTGAGTACAAACCACCAGATTTGTGATAATGGGAGCCAGGCCTTAAATAAACAGAGGAGATGTTCTTCCTGCAGTGTGTTTCTGAATGGCACGTTGGGTACAGGGTGTTTCTCTGGGGTGCAGTGCAGGGAAGACTGGACAAGTATTAGGAAGAGGCTGTGTTGAGAGTTAATGAATGAACACCCCCTCACACTCAGGAAATTCCCAGAGCTAAAAGCAGTTGGAAGCTGTGGAAGTGTTGCAGAGAAGATATCATGTATTTGCCTTGCTTTTCCTCTTCCTTTGACGTTGGCCTGTGGCCTGTGGTGGAAACAGGATGTTGGACTGAATGAGTTCTTCATCCGAGGCAATGCACCTCTTCCTCTGTATTCATGAAGGATCATGCTGAAACACCTGGAGCCACATAATAACATTAAGCCTGTGTGATGGGGTTCTTTCAAACCAGACTCAATGTTCATCTGTACCCAGAGTATTATAGACCAAC